GCAGAAGACGAACGAACAAATTTTGGTTCGGGCCGTTCGTGTTTGACTCGTTCACATAGCGAACGAGCCGAACACGAGCTGTTCGCGAGCAGCGAGCTGTTTTGACAGCCCTACATACCGTGTTTGTTTTATTTTATGAATTACTATGCAAATAATTTAATTTAATCTGCTATTTGTAAAACTAGCAATAGACACTAATATAAAAAAAATATTTAAAAATTAATGCAAATAATAATAATAAAAACATTTATATTTCTTATTGTATTATCTAAATACATAATGCTACTCGTCTTAAGAAAATCAGCTCCATCTTAAACAAAGATACATTTCTAGAATATATAATTGTTTAGGGTTTATTATGAACCAATTTTATTTTTATTTTTATATTTTTAAAAATATGTTTTTTAGTATAATTTTTACGTACTTTTCATTTTTTAAAGAAATAAATTAACATATTTTTAAAAACATTCAGAACAATCTTAGATGTATTGAATGTTTAAATAAATAAAAAAATATTTTATTTTAATTTATCAATATATTTTGTTCCGAATTAAAATATAAATAAAAATTAAAATGATTCCAACCTCCTATTTTAGTTGACGTGGCCTGTGATTCATCATAACAATGCACTGAAAGCGGTAGGTTCAAGGAGCAGCAATGAAGTGCAAAATTCATAATTTATCGGACAAAAATGTAAAAACTAACTTGAAGCCTTTATCTATAGCCATGAATATAGGGAAAATATTTGCAACGCTGCATACGTTTAGGGGTTATTCAGGGGACGTTTAGGGGTTATTCAGGGGATACAAGGGGGTTATATCAGGGTTATACTCCTCTAAAACCCCCCTGTAACCTTTTTGTAAATTACTTGTAACCTACAAATGAGTTCCGCGTTTTTGTAATTTTATGAGTACAAATAAGTTACACGGAGGCTACAAGGGAGTTATACAGAAGCTACAGGGGGTATAACCCAGATATAACCCCTCTATAACCTCTGAGTAAGCAGCGCTGCGTACGTCTTATGTACACAAATATTTTCTCATGAATAGAGCAGTTTAATCGTAAGTTTGGGACTGCAATTGCAATAAAAAAATTATTATTTTTTTTAAATTAAAATAAAAAAAAATTAATTTTTTTAATTTTTTTAAGAAAATTAAAATTGATAATAGATTTCCCAAACCAGCCAAACAATTATATCACATTTGTTTACGAAAAACTAATTCTAATCATTAAGATTTTTAAAGGAAAATTAGCTTACATAGCACATAATCCTTATGTATTGATATATCTCACGCTTAAATTTTCATATTTATATACATAACACTTTGGTGATTTAAACATTTGCATGAAAATATGTTTTCAATTTTAAAAAGTTGAGAATAGTGATATTGTTTGTGTGATGATAAAGTTTTTAATGCTATATATGTGTGTATGTGCATAAAACATGTGTCAACACGAATCTTAAAGAAATCTGGCGACTGACAAAAATGATGATGTGGCTGAACGGACCCACTAGAAGCTGTTTGAGGGCCTCTGTCTATCCTGCTGACATCTGCAGGCCAAGATGATGACAATCTAAAGACGAGTAGAATTCGGTCGTCTCTCTTAAAGTTTGTCGGTGCAAAGCTCCCGCGGATGAACCTGCCAACATTTTCATTTAAGCTGGGCGAACGGTGAAAATTGCCCATCTAAAGCGGTTAACCAAGGGTCTCCTAGTCCACCTTGCAGTCCCGCTTGGCTCTCAAATGTCGTCATGGTCCAAAAAGCCAATGGAAAGTATCGGATATGCGTAGACTTCATGAGCCTGAACATCATCTACTCGAAGGATTGTTACAACCTACCGAGGATCGACGTTCTAATGGATGCCGCAATGGGCCATTCCATGAAGTCAATACACCCCTTAGTTAAACTCTAGCATAGCAATGATCATCATTATCTCAACTCTGATATTGATCAAATAATTGATGCAAATTTTAATTGCTGTCGTTGTGGTAAACCTTTCAATTATTAATGGTGTCAACAAGAGTTGCTAACTATCATTATCTATGAAAAATAAAAAAAAATAAAGGGGTTTTTACATACATACATACATACATACATACATACATATATATATATA